CGGCCGGGCCGCGGCGGTGGGGGGCGGGGGTTCGGCCGCGGGGCCGCGCGCTGTCGGTTTGGGCGCCCGGGGGCAAGATGGCGGTTGGCTCCCCTTCCCCCCCGTTTCGGCCTGGCCGCGTTCCCGTTTGAGTTCTCCCCGCCGTGGGATCTCAGGCTCGCGTGTGTCCTTCCGTCCCCCGGGGACGCCTATTGTCGGGTCTTGGGGAAGGTTTTTTTTTCCCCACACTCCCTAGGCCTGGGCGCAGGTCGAAGATTGGAGGGAGGGCCCGGGGCTTTCATGCCTTTTATCCTCCGAAGCTCGGGTCTGCGTGGCCTCGGCACCGTGACTCGCCAAGTCACCATTATGGGGTCGTCGTGAGGCCCCGTCGCCCGCCCGGCTCCCGCCCCTATACCCGCCCTACACACCTACCTTGGCTGGTCGCTCCCGTCCCCCGAGAGCGCACCTTGGAGAGGGGATGTCTGCTTTACTCTCACTGTGCTCAAAATAAGCACAGGGGGTGACCGTTCGTTAATCACCTCTCCCGCTTATAAATTGAGATTTCTTGTTGTGCAAAGCGTAAACCCAAGCAAATACTCCCACTCAGGTTCCAATGTATTAACTTGAGAATGAGTGCTGTTAGAAAGAGCTCTCATTTTAGTTCTGCCCAGGTGATCACAGAAACCACCACTCTTTCTGAAACATTTTCTGTAAAAGTTTCACTTGTGACTAAAAACTCACAGTCCACCCTGAAATTTGAAAACATACTTGACTGTAAAAGAACAAGAGCCAAATGACAGAGCCGTTGGTTCTAACCTGCTCTCCTGTGATGGCTGAGCGTCTCAGGCGCAGTGTGTTTTCCCCAGGTCTGGGTGAAATGGCCATATTGCTGACGACAGGACGAGGTGAATGAGAAACTGCCTTGTAGACTAAGTGGAGTTTACAAAGGAGGTTAGAATTGAAAGATCCGTTGATTTATTAAAGTTCAAGATTACTTTTATGTTTTATAAGCTTTATAAACTCTTTTAAAAATTGACTGTTGGTGGAGAGAATGAATCAGGTGGAATAGAGAGAAGCAGTTTGTGTCCTTTGGTGCATTGTCTTTGTTAAAATCACACAGTGTATGTACATCCATGTATAATTGTTAAGCCGAGCGTACAATGCTTTATGGGTACCAGGGTTCCCATCAGGCGAACTAAAACAGTAAAATCCCAGAAACGCTGCTCTGGTTAGCGGTGGAGCATGACTTAGCAGTATTGAAACTGAGTTTTTGCATGACTATGTGCAAATGACATTATTTTAGAAACTTTGTCGGAAAATATGGGCATGAAACTAGTCTGAGGTAAGAGGCCTGCTTCCTCAGAAGAGTTTTTAAATAAATACAAACCAATGGATTTCTTGGTATGTTTGATGGCCCCATATTTAATTTCATTTAAAAACTTTGCTGATTTTAAGTAACTTTTAGTATGTGTACTGTGGATGAAAATGGGGTTCTAGGGAAAGTAACCTCACTAGGTGATCTGATCAATTCCTAACAGGGCAGGTCATGGTGGGTGAAGTCTCACCCCAGGGACGTAACTTCTTTAGGGCTTACCTGAAGCAAGCCCTTCCCTTGTTTTTATGCATCTAGGTTCACACACCTTTGAAATGAGCATAATTACCCTTGAGAGAGCTGGGAATCCTGTTAACTATCCTCGTGATCCAATCCCTGCTAGCTTTCTCCCACCTTTGGGTAATCTGCCTTATGTTCCCTCAATTACAAATGCATGAAAGAAACTGTGAAACCATTTTCTGAAGCATTTGAGATCTTGCTTCTCAGAAACTGATGTCAGTTTTGGCTCAAATAAACTTCATAAAAATTCTGTACAGGTTTGGACATTCTTCCGTTGACATTACCATTCATTTGTATCTAATTGCGGACAACTTTTTAAAATTAATCCTAACTATACCATTTGTTGAATGCTTCATATAACCTAGGAATTTACTAAGTCCCTTGAATATATTATCTTATTTACTTCTTAGCCCCTAGGAGGAATTTTTAACCTCTTTTAACACATGAGCAAACAGGCTTAATGGAAAAGAAATTAAGCAACTTGCCCAAGATCATGTCCCTAGTAAATGGTTAGACCCGGGACTGTATGATCTCAAAGTCAGTTCGCTTGCCATCATGTGCCACAGAGTCTCCAGGTAAACAAAGATAAACATAAAACTAGGCGATTTCCATATGTAATCTCATATAATTCTTTAACGCTCACATGAGGGAGTGTTGTTATACTCATTTTACAGATGAGGAAAGAGACTCAGGAAGCTTAAGTAATTTTCCCAGAGTCACCTGTCTAATAAATAGTGGACAGTGTTTGAACTCTAGCTTGTTGGAAGCCAAGCTCATTGCACAATTCTGCTTCCCATTTCTGGGTCTCTGTCTCATTTGGCTGTTATTTCTCTCAATCAGGTGCTCACAGTTTACTAAATAATGGCCACTTGGTGCTTGTGATATCCTTGTCAAACGACTCCTGAATTCTGCATCTCAGTGCATGCCCTGGACGGTAGACACGAACAGCTGCTGAAAAGGCCTTACAGTTGTTTAGATATTGGTGTCTGTGAGTGTTTGGCATGAATGAGCCCCCTCCGCACGAGCAAGCCTGTGCGGATGGAGAACCTTGTGCCTCTGTGATGGGCCTTCCGGTTGGCCAGCTGGCCTCCGTCTTTGCCATCCCTCTCTCGGCTTTCTCTAACCTCAGTGCGTTTTAAAGTGACTATAGGCACTGAAGTTCCTGTCTCCCCTACTTGGGGATGAGCTGCAGGGATGAGCATTGTTTTTCTCCTAGCATGAGCCTGTCACAGCCGATGTGCGTGGAGAATTCAAAGCTGCTGGAAGGGAACTGAAGGCTATCGTGTGTCTAGAGGTGGCAAAGGGTGTCGGCTGTTGAGGGTTAGTGTCCTAAACTGGACGATCTAATGCCCCCAGAGTAGTAAGCATTTCTGAACTGCTGGGCAGCAAGGATACAGGCCCCGACTACAGAACAGGCCCTGCCTAGGGAGGCCACATGTAAACAAGCAGAGGCCAATATCTGCTTGGGGGACACTTAACGAGGGCATCCCCCTCTCCGTGGCATCTCTGAGCCTCTGGACAGGATGTTTCCCTGCCTTTGTAACGACCCCCCAGCCCCACACACACACACTGCTAGCGTTCCTGGCACTTTATTGTCGTTATCTGTTTACTTGACCGCTTTCCCATTAGGCTAAACAACTGGCAGGCAGAGGACCTGTCCTTGAGGAGAACAAAGGAATCTGAACTTTGGCAGAGGATGGGCGGGGGATACTTCAGTTTTGGAGGGGAAAGAGGCAGGAAGCAGAGATGTCCCTGAGGAAGAGATGAAGCACGCAGGCAAGATGTCACTGGAGACTGATGTGGTGTCTCCTCCTCCTGAGCGTATAACTCCCACCAGAGTCTATCTCGTGTCGTTACTGGGAAAAGAGAAAAAAGTGCAAAATGGTTTCGAGTCAGTAGATGATGGAGGAATGTGGATGACTTGGGGGGCAGGCCTGGCTCTTGGATGGGTTGCGTCTAGTCACATGGAAGCCACACCCTAGGGCAGGACAGGGACCCAGTGCTGTTCCTGGCTGGTCTCAAGTCCTTCCTTCGGGGCAGCTGGGTGTGTGGCTACTGAATTGGCTCCTGCCCGGCACGACACGGCCTTACTCATGCCGTGCGCTGCCCTGGGCATACGCGGTGTGTGCCAAGGAAGGCTGGCAGAGGCCGAGGGATGGCAAGACGCTGGGACTCCCGCTCCGAATCCTGACAGCCACTTGCAAACCTTTGCGAGAGAGCGTCTTAACGTGTTCCCAACCTCTGCCACATATTGTCCTCTTTTAGTTGTGAGTCTGGCACATTTTATCCACCCAGATGGTGTCCACATACCAGCATGCGAGCTCACTGAACCACGACGGACCGTGGCCTGTAATGGAGCACGACAGCCGCACCATCAGGGAAGCACGGCTGTGTCCTCCGCTGAGTCAGCTGCCACTTCGGGCAGACTTGCCGTCAAGGTAGAGCTTTCAAGTACAAGTATCTATGGCTACATTCTGGGTTCTGGATCTCTTTGGGGACGCCTATCCTGCTTCTTTGTGCGTGGCCTGGTTTCCCAAGCCGGCGGTTCTCGGGTGAGGGTGCCTGGCAGAACCCCGGAGGGCTTATTGGAACACCTGACCGCTGGGCCTCCGCAGAGGTTATTCAAGGTCTGTGTGGAGTCCCAAGGTGAGGTTTCTAATAGATTCCTGGGACCGCACGTTGCCCTAAAGCCAGGGGACTGCGTGACTTTGGAACCCAGCTGCCCCTTCCCCTCACCACCGTTTCGAGAGCTTGCTTTTGAGATATTCCAGGTGTCCTAATTCAGGCCGTCTGTCCGTGAATGAAAATGAGTAAAGAGGAAGAAAATAGATGGCCCAGTGACTGCGCCCCGGTGGTGGGACCCAGGCCTAACTGTGAAGTTATGGGCCTGATGACCAGAGACGCTGCATTATACTGGCCCGGTGTGTCAGAATTACAATAGTGGTCCTGACGACATTGCACTGGGCCAAAGGCCTGTCACCCGCCTTCTCTCGTTGGCATCCTAACCTCAGGGAAGTGACACCTGTGCATACTGTCCCCCTCCTCTCGTAGATGGGAAAACTGAAACTCAGAAAGAGGGTTTATTTTGGGGTTGGGGGTCAAGCATCCTGCCATCAGTTTTAGGGTTTTTCCCACTGCATAGGGTCTAATCATCCTTCTTGGCATGTCCGGGTTCCAGAAAGTTGGCTGCTTTTCCTTTAGTGGGATCTCAGT